AGAGAGAGAGAGAGAGAGAGAGAAATAACAATAATATTTTACATATATTTTATTATAATATATAAATATTATTGATACTTTTTATATTTATATATTGTGAAAATATTCATCAAATGATCCTTTAGAAGATTTATTTTCTAGAGATCAAAATAAATTCAAAAGTTTATACAAAAATATATGATTATACTATATATATTGATTAATTATTATAATTAATTATAAATATATTGATTATACTATAAAAAAATAAGCTTGAGACTTGTTTATTAAGTTATAAGTAATTTAAGTTAAATGAAACGAAATAGAATATAACAATAATATAAGGAAGATAAAATGATTTCATTTTATTTCTACTTCATTCAGTTAACATAAATTTAAATTGCTTAGAACTTAATAAATAAATATTAATTAATATTTTCTTATATTAATTTTTCTGTTTGATCTTTAGAATCAATGCTCGAAAAATATTGAATATATTAACATTTTGTACATATATTTAAAAAAATATTAAGAAAAATTGTTAGCATACTTTGACCATCAATAACAATCCTTAAAGTGCCTAATAACTTAAATACAACAGGATATGATGAAATGTTTAGCATAGAATATAAAATGTTTATCAATCCATCTGTTAATATTATAGGTTTATTATCCATAGGAATAACAAGATTCCTTAAAGCACTAAGTAAAGCATGTTGAAATCTTATATCATCAACATCTGTATTATTTCTTTGTAGCAATTTTAAAAGATTACGATGAACACCTTGAGTAACCATAAGTTTACAATGGGTATCTGAACGTGCGAAATTACCCATTGCTAATACAGCTGTAATTTGTAAGTCTTTGTCTTTGTTCTCAAGCCATTTAACCAATTTTTTATATGTAATGCCATTACTTTTATCATATAAACTATTCATGCTATCATCTAAAATATTATACAAATGTTTTCATAAAATGCAATTAAAATATTTTTTTTTTATCTACAATATTTACAAATTAACATACCTCCAGTTAATATAAGAACAATTAAATTGCAAGCAATTTTCAGCACAGATCTAGTTTCTTCATCTGTACAATATGGACTATGTTTTTCTAATAAATTCAATAATAATTCACAAACACCAGTTTTCGCAAGTAATAATTTTGTACTTTCTACAATAATAATATGATATTAAATTTATTCAATTCAAATACTAATATACTATATATAGTGATTAAATTATTCATTAATCAAGTTTACAGATTATAGAAATAAAATTTGGTTACTTTGATTATTTATTATTCTATTTTTAGATTTATAAAAATACCATTTTCTGCTTGTCCATGAAGAAGTTCTAAACATATTTCAGAAAGTTCTGATGATGTATCAGTAGATAACATATTTACTAAAATTGTTGTAAGTCTTTCATTTAAAAATATTTTATTAGCATCGTTCAATAATTCTAGTATTAAGAGAGAATGCATTGCAGCCTCTCCACCAGAAGTTCCATCAATTTCCAGAATATTACAAATAATAGGTACTATTTCTTCTTGTAATTCCTAGAAATATTTTTTCATACATTAATATATAAATTTTTATTTATGTATTCATATATTTATTAGTTAATATATCATTATAAAATTATTATAAAAATTTATAAGTATATTTTTTATGATTGATTTAACTCAAAATTTTTTTATAAATTTGAAATAATATAATTATAAAATTAAATTTTTTAATATTTAATATTATAATTTAATTAATATTTATTAATTCAATTATAATGATATAATAAATAAAAATAAGGAAAATATATAATAACAAAT